AAGTAAGCATATGCTTGAAAATTAGCAATTTTTATACAGATAAAGAGGAGAGGAGAGGAGAGGAGAGGAGAGGAGAGGAGAGGAGAGGAGAGGAAGGGAAAGGGGAAAGAAAGGAGAAAGAAAGGAGAAAGGAGGAGAAAGGAGGAGAAAGAAAGGAGAAGAAAGAAAGGAGAAAGGAGAAAGGAGAAAGGAGAAAGGAGAAAGGAGAAAGGAGAAAGGAGAAAGGAGAAAGGAGAAAGAAAACCCAGGTCCAATAACCTCTTGCAATTCCTAATAATTATTTAGGTTCACCACAGTTTAATGATAAATGCACGGCATCATGTACGAAGTTACACAAATAAGGCAGGAGCTGAGCCTGCCAGCAGTGCTCAGAAGTCAATGCAAACACAGACAGCTACAAATTAACTCAGGCAACCGGCAAACCAGACCAATAGCAAAGCTGCCTTTTGCAACCGTCCCACTTCTGGGAACACAAAAATCCGTACCGACTAAAAATAAAATAAATGTTTCATTAAAGCTCCCAATGCATTTGTTAAACAAGATGAAGAATCTGTAGGGTGGGTAGGGATACACAACGCAGCAAGGTAACTTGCTCTGAGGGATTCAGCCTGCCACTGTACAAACTGGTCCTTACCATGTAGAGCAAATTAAGATTGCATTGCTAGCTACTGCGGAACGACACCTTCAGCAGCTTTGCATCCAAGAACGTCTCTCTTATTTTCCAGGATTTGGCCTCCCCTACAACACATTTTGCTAAGAGTAATTTGCAAACTGTGAATGTGATGATAGCCTAATCACTCAAAACTTTAGCAATGAAAATACGGAAAGGCTGTTGTACAAAAAGATAGATAAATAGAATGGTTTCGTTTGACAGAAATAGAAAATATGACTCAGACAGGGAAAAGAGCTCTTTGCCCTTTAAAAAAATCACTCTCGTTCTTCCTCTTTCTCTAACACAGGAGCCTTTCAGGGAGAGCCTGGCGATGCTGCATTATTGATGTGATACAGGTCTCCAGTGGAAACAGATGTGATATGTTTGGTTTTCTCTGATCGTCTGGGCTGAACACAAAGCAAATTACTGAATGTCAGAAGACTTGGGTTCATCGAGACCGTTCAAAGCACCCTTTTAAAAGAAGTTCTCAAATTATAAGTCTTAAATTTCAAGCCTGTTGCATAACCAAAAGTTATATATGTACTAAAAGAAATGTGACCCGAGTGATTTTGCCGAGACAAACTGCAGATGACATTAAAGCACATATGCGTAGCTTTAGGATTTGTTTGTTCTCAAACCAGGCACTGATAGCTGGGGTGAAAGACACGTAATAGCACAGCCTGGGTGAACACAGAATCGCAGAATTGTTTAAGCTGCAATATATACAACTTAACTGCATATGTGTAATCTCTCTGACAATTTTTCTAACGCGTGTTGACTCCTTTATTTTTAAAAACACGGTTTTAAACTTTCTCTTTACTGCCCCTCAGTTTCTGGCAGGCTGTTTTACACACAGCATGTTTGTCCCACACAAGAGGTCAAGCAAAGGCAGAAGAGAGGTGGTTTGGCCCAGGCTAGGTCATGCTCCAGCTTCAAGAGGAATCCAAGGCCACCATACAAAAAGGCAGGTTCAGTCTACCCACCCCAGAAACCCACGCAATGTACGTTAGGAGCAAACCCAAGCCACAAGGATGAGTTTTCTGTATTTACTGAGATACCTGCCTGAGATTTGCCTTTCTAACTCACGGTGGACCCGTAACAAGACCCGACTAAAGCAATCAGCAGTAATCTCCTCTCATGAATAAGAGAAGCAGTGTGAAGGGACATGTTAGATTATGCCTCGCTTAGGTGATAGCTTCAATTTAATCAGTTTTACGAAGCAGCTCAGAAGAGAACATTGTTTCCCAGCCTCTGCTGAAAATGAGAGATCCTGGATGACGCCACTGACATATCTCAGCTGCCACTTTCTCCTTTCATCCTCTTTCTTCACCTTTTCACCTGCTTCTTGGCTTTCTCCCTAGGCAGTCCTGCAAATGTAGGGGGGAAAAAACAAAAGGTGGGGTGGCTGAGCCTGAGGCTGCTGAGACATCCCGGGTGTAAAGGAGACCCAGGGTCTTCCCGCTTCCCCTTATTGAGCTCCCAAACGGGAGACCTGGTGAACTCTGGGAAGGACTTCGGTGGTTTCTTCACCTTTTCACCTGCTTCTTGGCTTTCTCCCTAGGCAGTCCTGCAAATGTAGGGGGGAAAAAACAAAAGGTGGGGTGGCTGAGCCTGAGGCTGCTGAGACATCCCGGGTGTAAAGGAGACCCAGGGTCTTCCCGCTTCCCCTTATTGAGCTCCCAAACGGGAGACCTGGTGAACTCTGGGAAGGACTTCGGTGGTGAGGGGAGATGGCAGAGGAC